GGGCCAACACAGAATGGCACAAGAAATCCATCCAAGTTTTCCTGTCTAGATACAGAACTTCTATTCTCTTTCAACGAGAGAAAACAGCCATGTGAAGAGATTCTCTCAATTTAGTGCCTGAAATACATACTTACAGATGTTCCTGAAAAGTCAGCAGGATAATTTTAAACAGCAGATTTCAAAAGATACAGCATAAGACATGCAAGATTTAGTCTGACCTCAAAATTTAAGTTTTAACAATCACTAGATTTTAAAAGCGAGCATCATTTTTGGAGGTATCACTTGTAAGTAAACAAATGAGAGCATTCTATACGCACCATGTTGCAGCTGTAGACAGGCAAAACAGACACTAAAATCTCAATTAGGAACCAAATTATCCAACTGGGATGCACAATATTGAAGTACTTCAGTATAACATCAAAACATTCAGACAGATTAATTGTGCCAGTGTTGTTTTCCTACTTTTAACAAAACTCTCTAGGCAGACAAATTAACATTTTTCAGTTTGTAAATTTACAAACAGCTACCCAATTATGGAGACTGGGGAGTTAAAGATAATCAAGGATTTTACAGGGGCTTAGTCACGTGAGTTCTACTTCAGTTTTGCTGTGCTAGCCCCTTTTAGCACCATAGAAAAACAAATCAAGGTTTTATTTCCACGGCAAGGCAATATCAAGAACACAAAATGCCGACAATATGTTGTTTTATTGCTAATAGAATTTGCTTGCATACAGATCTGGGTTTTAACTTAATGCACGGTTACTGAAAAGATTCTGTGGGCCCTTTAAAATAATTTTTGTAAGCATTTTATTTATTTAGTAAATGCTTGAGACAACCAAATGAGAATGATATTCTGCATATAATTTTTTGTTTATGAAACTTAGCAGGAATATTTCAACGAAAGGAAAAAAACCTCATGTTTGGACCATTAATAAAGAAAGAGATACTGCTTTGGCATCTCAATTTCAATTTTCAAAATAAAGACATTCTGAAGCTATTAAAAGGGCTGCTAAGTGAAGCCTTGTACTCTGCAGGGAGTCCACAACACAAAGTCTTTTGTCTGAGGAAACCCAGTTTTTCTGGCAATAAAATATCACTTGGCTTCTTTCTCCAGTTTCTTTAATTTTACTGCATGCTAAGGAGTTAAAGCATATCCAACACGCTGACGCTATTTTGTTTTACTTCATAGTGCATCAGCTTCAAGTCTCTCATCACAATCTGTGAGGAGGAAACCTAGCTTTTCAGAATATATTAGTAGTAAGAGACTCTCCCCCACTCACACATTAAATCTAAACCAAATCAAGAGAAATTATCCATTAAAACTATATACAAAGCTGTCTACCACAGTTAGGTATCAAGCTGAAATTCAGTGGCAAATCAGAAGTATTAACTAGGTATAACTTTTATCGCCTCACTCTCCAGATCTTTGGACCTAGATTAAACCTCTCCTATTTCACCTCAGAGAATTTGCAAACACTGCACACCTAGCGCAGGCTACAGCAGGAACGGCAAAGGAGGAAGGATTAGTTGCAAGCCCCGTCCTTCAGCTTGTAATGGCTTGATTCTGTTATCACTGGAATACAGATCAAAACATTCAGTCTCTTTTATGGCTGAGAAAGTAGATCTATTTTTAGAACAAATTACCTGGCATCAAACAGCTGAGAAAATTAGCTAGTTCACACTGCAGACCAAAACAATTTTGCCATGGCATAAAGCAGCCTTTTCCTGTTAAATACCCAACATGTTCAGATACCTGTAAGCTCAACCTCTTTTACAGAGCAAATCCAAATACAGTCGGTGCTTTATAACCACTTTAGGCATATCCCCAAAAAGCTATAAAGCATCTGATAGCGACTTTAAGTCAGCCTTACTATTTTTACTCAGAATTAGAGATCTGAGGGAACCATTTTTCTTTACTGGGGGGAAAAAAAAACCCCACCGCCCTGTCTGAAAGATGCTTTCAAAACAGGAAAACATTTTAAATGCATTTTATACCACCAAATTCCTCTTTCACAACCTATTAAAATACTAAAAGCAAATGCCACCATGGGTACACTGCTCAGATTATTGCAAGATTCAAATCATATTATTTCTATTTATTTTCCAATATTTTCAAAGAAAAGAGCTTGTCCTCACTCAATACATTTATTCACAAGTGGGTCGTCTTTGTTGTGTCTCCCAGTGCTATATACACATTTATACAGAGGATTGATGAATATTGGTAAGCACAGGGATGGACATAAAGGCTGAAGCCTTCAAATGATGCAAATGTGTTTAATCTATTTCTTTCCTTTTTTTTTTTTTTTATATCACTTAACTTGCATTGAGGCAAGTTCATGCGAAGACAAAAAAAATTCCCCAAAAGCTAAGTACACTTGGAGCGGAGTTCAATTCAACACACCAGGCAGACACAATGCATGGTACAATGGTAACAAGCAGTGCTAATTCATTAACAAGTGACAGATAAGAAACAGCTGGAAGTGCAACTTTACATATACTGCGAAAGAAGTTTGAGCAGTTTGTTTAGCTGGTAAAATGGAAAGTGAAAGATCGAAGAAATCAAAGAATATGGTTAACCACAAATTACCAAGATGAATATTTAAGTCACTATTTTTACAAAGAAAAAAAAACAGTATGAAAAAATGGAAGGTAGTGAAATCTGTACTTATATTAACATGTCTGGAGGAAAAAAAGATATTTGGAACAATTAAGGAGGAGAAGAATCAGAGAGAATGGTTTTTCAAAAAGATGACCTAAATTAAGCAACATTCCGATGTTAAGTATCAGGAAACACCTTCTGCCCTGATGGGCTTACGTCATCCATGAACAACAAATATCCCACAGAAATTAACACTGGGATTACAAAGAAAAAGGAAATTATATCATGAGTTTCTCTCAGAACCTTCTCTAACACTAGAAATAACAGGTAGAGAATCCTAGATTGAAGTGGTAATTTTATGTAAGATATAAAACCAGACAGAATGGGTAAAAGGATGGGAAAGGGGAACTTTAATTACGAAGAGAAGGAGACAAAGAAAAGAGAAGCATAGCTGTTACAAGATCTGTTACAGGAATAATTTTAAGCAATATGAGCTAATAAAGAGAAAGGAAGGAGTTGCGGCAAAAGTGATCTTGAAGGTCAACTAGGTTGTGTTCACTGCTTCAAAGCACACTGTTTCTGCGGTTGTCTTCAGAAAGTCACCGCACCTAGACTAGAATTCTAGAGCCAGGCACACCTCCCAGTAATATCAGGCATTTGATAAATGTCAAATGATTGATGTAATATTAAATAATGTGCATATTCTGACAAATGTCATTGCACTTAGAAAAATTTCACTTCACACTCTACGACATTGAATTTTAATGAGTTGCAGCAGAGAGACTTTAGCCAGCCTTGTCTAGAAAGAGAAACTGAACAGGACAGAAGCCAAGTACAAATGCTCCAATGCATATGTGCATCCCAAGAAGTGACAGGACGTAAGAACACGCAAATAAAAATTATTTAAGAATATAAAGTCAAAGCATGAAAGAGAAATGATTTGTCAGATAACACAGACCGTAGTGCCTTTAGGAAAGGAGCTCCTGGTAAAAAGTTGTCATGGCTGATAGCTGGAAGAGGCAACTGCAAAAGCGGTTTAAATGAGTGCAGATGCTGCTTTCACCATTGACATTCATAATTAGGTCTGTTAAGAGAGAAAATATTCCACCTACGTCAATACTTCTCTATAGCATCTCTAAGCCTCTTGACCTCAGTTTCTTTTGCAGCATCCACATAAGTTTTTGTACGCTTTCCCCCCATATGTCTGGTCTATTTATAAACTGTTCAGGTCGGGGCCACGTATTACCATGAGTGTATTAACAGACCAGCAGAAATGAGCCCCATTCCGAGGTTCTTCCCTTGGCCCTGCTAGTCTGTAAAGAAAAATGGCCCTCAAAGATGACTAGTTCACCATTGCGTAAGAGTTCAACAGTGGTGAGTAAATATCTAGTGGTTAAGTGGACAAAAATAGAAAATAATAAACAGCATAAAAATATAAACTACTTTATTTCCTTTGATTATAAAAAGACTAGGAGAGTCTGAAAGAAAGCGCAGTTCTACAGGAATAAGAGGGCAAGACTTATAATTCTTGCCCTGTTGTATGTCCATCCTCTTGCATGACTATCCTGTGACTATCGCAGACATATTTCTGTGTCCATAAAGCAAGGAATATTTGACTACTTGCATAGAAATGTATTTTCAAGACTTACCAAATAGAACTAATTAAAACCACTAAGAAGCATCACTTTAGTCTTCAAAACCTTACTTCAACAATTTATCATCTGAATTTTGGGTTATCCTTGATGACAACAAAAGCCTTTTTAATTGCATCAAATTCAAGGTGAAACATATTATGGTACTTAGACTGTAAATTTTTATAAAATGGCTATCAAAATAACATCTTCCGTACTTCAATGGATCAAGTTCATGGCTGGGGGTTCTTTGAAACTGTTTTCAATTTACAGAGTAATCCCACAGTGCCAGGTACAACAGCCATGCATATATCCATGATTCATTTAACAAATACAGCATAGTTCAGGAGCGCTACAAAAATCCTGTGCACTCACTTGACACTTATGTGAGTATATGAACATTGTAATGTTAAAACTAAAAGAACGTTAATAGCAGTGTTCTGGTCTTACGTTTTCCTGCCTCAGAAATGTTTTGATACACAAGTTCTCATGAAAATTACAGTACGGAGCTAGGTAAGTATAAGGCATATGCCCACTCACATATACATATGCAGACATTTATATATATTTTTACATTAATTTTGTAGAATATAGATAGGTATTTCCCAGTGCTTTGCTTAGACAAAAAAATTTCTTTAACAGCAGCTGAAAGATTTATTTACTAGGTCTTTTTAACACTTAAATCATTCTTAAAGTATTTGAGATTTAAATTTAATGATAACAGCAGTGTAACACAACCATTGTTGCACCACAACTGAATTTAAATATACCTGCTTCTACAGGAATTGGTTTCTCCAGGAGAAAAACTGTCTGTTTCCAGTGTGTTTTGGTACACTGGGGACCAGTTGAAAACAAGACCTGCAATGGAAGAGTTCAAGAGTTTGATTAAGAACAACATTTTTGATATCACACTACATCAATCAATTACCAAACACACATGCACATGAAGTGTTTGCTACAGCAAAACAGGCTCACTGCCAAACACCTTGAGGCAGAATAAAGTACAAACCCACCCTTATCTCTCAAAGACATTTTTAAATGCATAACCCCAAATACTCACCTTGTTGTGACAGTTCTTCTCAAAAAATATATCAAAATAACCAGCAACTGCCTATAAAAAAAAAGGAAAATGCAAATATGATAAGGGAATAATAGTGACACTCAAGAAAAAGCCTATCATGAACATACACATTTATTGGGATTTCTACTCCTTTTCAAGCCTTTACTAACAGGAACAACCTTAGATTTATGCCTTCAAGCATACTAGAAATCCTAAACCAAAAAATAAGCTGTCATCTGTCATCACAACTCCTTGGTTCTACCCGAGAATATTCAGCCCACTATACCTGCATTTTACTACATACTGAATTTCAGCCCGAGCTTCTAAAGTAACCCGCGCACCCTAACTGCAACTAGAATTACACGAGAGAAAACAGCCTTTCAGATTTGCAAACCCACAAGCATAAAATTCAGTCCTTGTCCCCTACGGCTCCCATGACCCTCAACAACTCCTTGGTTCTACCTGAGAATATTCAGCCCACTATACCTGCATTTTACTACATACTGAATTTCAGCCCGAGCTTCTAAAGTAACCCGCGCACCCTAACTGCAACTAGAATTACACGAGAGAAAACAGCCTTTCAGATTTGCAAACCCACAAGCATAAAATTCAGTCCTTGTCCCCTACGGCTCCCATGACCCTCAATAAATACACACACAGTACGAGGGATTCGGCATAACGTGTTTGCTCTTTGCATAGCTTAACACTATTTTCCACAAAAGCTCCCTGTGAACAGAGGCAGAGCATAACCAGGCAGGGAATATTTTTCTTCCTCTACTACACACACAGATAAGGAAAAAGATTCACAAATACCTCACGCTGGCCTTTTCAGCGGTTAATAGTTTCTAATAGTAACTCTCCAAAGGATTCCTCGGAACACTACTTCTGTCCCTGCTGCCATCCTACTCCTAACCTCAAAGAGCCTCTCTCTTCAGTGCATAATTCATTAGTGGGACTTTTCTTCCAGCTTGAAGAGGAAAAGAAACACAAAATGTCCGCACGCAAAACAGTATACCGACACTATTAGTTACACAGTCTGTTAACACTGGCCTGCTTTTTTGACAAAAAAAAAAGCCTTGTGAGAGTCCTAGAAATTCAAAGCATTCAAATAAAGAACTGGAAGATGCTAATAAAAAGACCATCCACTCCACAGTTTCACCGCTGAAATCCTGTCCGTGCTCACCTTTATTCGCTTTCTACTCTCTCCTACGAAAAGGCTACAGCAAATCAGACCGTGGGCCCAAGGCAGTTATGCTTTTCTGTTGTATGTCAGCCTGAAGAAATGACCCAGAATAGAGCTTTTGAGTAACCAACTACAGCAGCTGGGGACTCTCTATCCGTGTGACAGCAGGAAGGGATTCTCCCCACGTCGGCTATAGTACCTTCAAAGAAGATATGGACCAATTCAACGATGGCAAACCTGTTGCATGAAAACTCACTGCAAACAACTGATTATAACCTTCCTCTCACAGCACCAGTGTTTTTCTCCTACTCTAAGTCTAGGAAACTGGTTGTTCTGAATAGTTACAAAGGACAAGTTCTGTAGCATGCCCTTCATATTGACTCAGAGATAGACTGTGAAGTCTAGAAGTGAAGGAAAAAAAGAAGTCAAACATGCCTGCAAAATTGAGGTAACATACTGAATGGCATAGGGCTTTACCATTATGAAATATGTAATCTGAATGATAGCTAAACCATTCTGGTATTGTTCCTCTCTAGTCTAAATCCAGAACAGATTTCACCAACAAGGTGGAGAACACAGTGTGTTAAAGCAAGTAAGCCTACGTTAAAGTACCTGTGTTAGCTTCTCAGCTACGGGCACTCCAGAGAAGCCCGGCAAGTTCCAAACTCCGATGTGGGCAAATATTCTTAAAAAATGAACCAAGGAGACACCGAGGGAGCTTCGTGACAATTGAGCACCAGATGTTGGAAACGGTGACTCTTCCATCCCTTAAGTAAAGTCCTATCACTCGATGCCGAGAATCTCATTCCCAAGTGAACTACAGCCTTGTCTAACATACCTTTTTGAGTAAAGATTGAGAAGGTTTTGACAAAGCTTTATTGACCCATCAGATTACTTTTATTGATGCACAATTTTTTTCTGGACATTAGTCAGGGATCTAAGTCATAAAAGTATTTTTCAATCATCAGGTCAATACTGTTGATATGCTTACAAATAAGACCTAGGATATGACTACCGGAGAAAGGAAAACAAGGTTGCGACAACAAAAATACATTAAGAATTGAGGGGAAAAAAAATTAGCTTCCAGAGAAAACAAGACAATCAAGCTACATTTTGGACCAGAAAGCTAAAAGCTCCAAGCAGACATACCATAGCTAAGGTGGATGCAATTATCTGTACACTTGGTAGCAAGAAGTAACAGAAACACCTTACATGCTACCCTGAGAAAACATCCCCGGATTAGCATTTTTTTTGGAATCAAGTTCAGGCTGAAAAGAAACTGCAGTTACAAGCAAAGAAACTGTCCCCTGCTATTTGCTGCCTCCTGTGCTCAGGGAAACGGGATTTGTACACCTTCTGTAAATGACTAGGACAAATAACCACCTTATTCCTTACAGTATCATCGGTTTCCCTAACTGAAACAACCTGACACACTGACTTTGACTACCTAAATCAAGAGGTAGTAGCAGTAATTATTAGACATCAAAGATCACCACTTTATGTAGAGCTCCACGGACTACAGAGAACAAGAGCTCTACACTGAATCATTAAATTCTTTTTGTTACGTTCTAAAATGGATATATGTCCTTCAATATTGATGCTGAAATAATTGTTGAGCTAAAAGAAGAAAAATACAGAAAAATATTTAACAAAATAAATTCCTCAAGTCCCTAAGGATAAGTTCCTGTGAACAGCTTCAGGCGTTCCCCAAAGTTGCCCAAAATTTGGTCAGTTAAAACTGGGCAGGGAACACACCCCAAAACCAAAACACACTCTCTGGTGAGCTATGTCAACAAGCAACCCCAGTCCTGCAAAGCTAAATAGAAGTTACATACTTAAAGTTAAATACATACAGGAGAGAGTTTGAACGATGTTTTGAAAACTAACTGTAAGAGCATATATTGCAATTCAGAAATCTAATGAGTACCTTTTATTAATACATTTTCAAAGCGTTTTTGAGCCAACTAAAAAAAAAAAAACCACACACACTTGGTTTGACGATTTTTCTTTGTGAAATTAGTTACAGCTATGTAATTTGTTTTTAATAAACATTTTTTGGCAACCTGCCATCATTTACCAACAGCGCATTTGATCTTCAGATAGAAATCTCTCCCCTCGTATTTTAAATCTTTGGGAAAACAAAAAGTCTAATACCAAACCCAGTAGTTACTGACCAGCTGCAAAATTTGTTTAATATTCACTACGGCAGCTATTCTACAAGCCAATTACAGTTGAGGAAAAACAGAAAGCAAAAATGCACAGATTAAATATATCCCACTTTGATGCACACAGCCTGCGGCTTACCCTGTAAAACAAGAAACCAAACCAGAAGTTTAAACCTGCTATTCAACAGAAGTACAGTTATTTACATATACCTAGGTAATAAACGTAAGGTCAAGTCCACCCTAAAGCCTCCCAGTAACTCCAGACTAAATTAACTACCTTCTTCCTTTCCTCTTCTTGATTTCATGTGGAAGATTGCATGTGCTAGATTGCATGTGTTCCCCTGACAATAACATAGCACTTTAAAAGGCATTCAGTTTATCCAAATTATACATTATTTTCATGAAGTAAATTCAGTTTTATTTCTGAACAGACACATTAGAGGAATTATTAAATTCACCAGCTCTTCTCAAGAAAAGGGTTGTTCTGTATGGTCCTCTATACCATATGTACGTTTATATGCTCATCCAAACACTATGCTATGCTTAAATTTTTTAAATATACTGTTGCCTTTTTGAGATCTTTCTGCTTTTGAGCTGTTTTGTCATTTGATCTGCCCCAGGCCTACAGGATCTCAAGCTACCTACATAGATACCTACAGTCGCATTAAAAGAAGCACATCTGGCCTTCCTAAAACCTGCCATACAATTTTGTAAAACAAGAAGAGCAATCAGTAAGGACAGTCATAATGAGTTTCAAGGCTGAGATGGTCCCGGGCCTATATTAAACTGTTAAGTAGTTAGCTACTGATACTGTTTTCTCGACTTCCTTTAACAATTCATACCACCCATTCCAAAACATCTGTGTATGAAACCAATTGTTCAATTAAAAGTTTTATCAAAAGAAATAGGCTGAGCTTCTTCTACGCTAAAATAAAGGGAGGGCATGCAGGATCTCAGCATAGCTCTAAAATCTTTTTGTAGAAAGCAAGCAAGCAAGCAAACAAGCAAGGAAGGAACGCAAGAGAAAGGAAAGCCTCAAATTTACAGTTAGTCTAGAAAACCTTAGTCTAAAGAGTGGGTGGGCCTATGTCAAAGAGGAACCTTGTTCTTTACACCCAATTTAATGATTTCTTCATGCCAAAAAAAGAAGTTGATGGCTTCTTACAACCACCCAAGCTTTCCTTTAAGCAAGCTAGGAATTCAAAGAATAGACTACTATAGCCTTACTATGATGGTCTGGTTTTATTCATCTAGCACAGAATTAATAAAAATGTTAACAATTAATTCCTAGGATGACATTTCAAATCCAGAGTGTATCTTTTTTCGTAACAGCTCAATTTCATAAATCTTTTCATTTTCAAAGTAGTCAGCTATTCTAGGACCAGCAAAACATTTAATTTTCAAAAAAATCGGCCAATGACACTGTATCTTTAATACAGAAAGAAAGTTTTCTTTGCCATGTCAAAGGCTTTAGTAAAGCCTTTGACACCATTTCCTACAGCATGCTCCTGGAGAAACTGGATGCTCGTGGCTTGGATGGGCGTACTCTTCGCTGGGTAAAAAACTGGCTGGATGGCCGGGCCCAAAGAGTTGTGGTGAATGGAGTTCAATCCAGTTGGAGGCTGGTCACAAGCAGTGTTCCCCAGGGCTCAGTTTTGGGGCCAGTTCTGTTTAATATCTTTATCAATGATCTGGATGAGGGG